GAAAAAATGAGGAGGATAAAGAGAATAAAGAAGAAAGGAGACGATAGGAAGAAAAGGGAAAAAGAGGAGAAAAAGAAAGGACAATACACAAATAATCCGCACATAAAAGAGAAGCTTACGACGACGTTTCGGTCCGACTTGGACCATTGACAAAGTCAGTGTGACTTTGTCAATGGTCCAAGTCGGACCGAAACGTCGTCGTAAGCTTCTCTCTTTTATGTGCGGGTTATTTGTGTATCGTTCCAGTCAGGGTATTGTGCCTTTTTTTGTTATTTAAGAAAGGACAAGAAAGAATAATAATAAGAAAGGAGAATAAAGGAAGAATAAACTAAGACAAGGAGAAAAGAAGGAAGTAGATGGTAACCCCCTAAAATTATTATTAAAAGGCAAAATAAACTTTCAGCATATACACACTGAGGCATATACACTTCTCAGTGTATATATCATACACTGAAACACTTCTCAGTGTATATATCCATACACTGAAACACTTCTCAGTGTATATATCATACACTGAAACACTTCCTCAGTGTATATATCCATACACTGAAACACTTCTCAGTGTATATATCATACACTGAAACACTTCTCAGTGTATATATCCATACACTGAAACACTTCTCAGTGTATATATCATACACTGAAACACTTCTCAGTGTATATATCATACACTGAAACACTTCTCAGTGTATATATCATACACTGAAACACTTCTCAGTGTATATATCCATACACTGAAACACTTCTCAGTGTATATATCATACACTGAAACACTTCTCAGTGTATATATCCATACACTGAAACACCTCTCAGTGTATATATCATACACTGAAACACTTCTCAGTGTATATATCCATACACTGAAACACTTCTCAGTGTATATATCATACACTGAAACACTTCTCAGTGTATATATCATACACTGAAACACTTCTCAGTGTATATATCATACACTGAAACACTTCTCAGTGTATATATCATACACTGAAACACTTCTCAGTGTATATATCATACACTGAAACACTTCTCAGTGTATATATCCATACACTAAAACACCTCTCAGTGTATATATCCATACACTAAAACACCTCTCAGTGTATATATCATACAATGAAACGCCTCTCAGTGTATATCCTGGGTGTTAACTAGCGCCTACTTTACTTAAATACACAAAAAGTTTAATTTACCGAAGTAAGTTAAGGTTACTTTCATGTTAATTTGGGTTAATCTAGCCATCTGGGATACATTCTATACCTGTATGTTACGACTTGCCCACTAATAGATACATTTAACTTACTAACAGACAGTTCTTCATGACGCATCACATTTCTTGGGTTATCCTGGGTAGCTAACCCTCGGGGGTTAAAAATCTTATCTAAACGCTTTAACTTCCAGCTGACCTAGAAGAGGTGGATTTGCTTGGGTTATTAATGTGGAGGGTTTGTAAGCCAGGGTAACCCAGTAAAGTGACTGTCACAGGAGGTGGGTTTTCTTCCCACTACAAGTCAACGATTCACTGCCTAGTAAATTACTAACAGCTGCTGTTATGTTTAATAAACTCTGTCACTCTATGAACTAATTTTTTTCCTTTAGTTAAATTTCCCCCACACCAAAATTTGTACATGCCACTAATATGACTTAACTACATTGCATAGCATCGGTGCGCAACATTATGTGGCAACCCTGATCTAGACGACATTTTGCACAGTTATTTATAAGGTTAGAGAAAGAATTGTATTTACCTAAGATAAACATCACACACGGCTGCTTCCATGTAATATTCCATCACTAGTATGGTAATGAAATTGGGCAACCTGAGCTGGTGGACTCCAGAATGATGATAAGGAGATCGTTCAACACTCCACTGATATTGACATGTGGGGGGAGACATTTACGTACAGGTCACATTTATTAAATGTCTTATACAGCTGAGACCATTTGTCCTGTACAGTTCATAACATTTATTGTCTTGTACAGCTCAGACCATTTAATAAATGGTCTGAGTTGTACAGAGCATTAATAAATATTCTGGGTTCAACAGCTATGGGAAGCTCACAGGGTTCCTTCCAGCAAGGTTGTAGCTACTCGTACATAGGGACTGATATGTACAAAAATCACACACCTACAGTAGTGAAACTTCAAATGGTATAAAATATCGACAGGTTGCTAGGTAAGACACATATGCAACAGTTAGGCATCTCTACTTCGAAACGCCTCGCCCACACAGTAGGCCTCCTCAGCCGAGTACAGAAAAGTTGATAGAAGCAGAAGATACTTGAAGACGATGTAATCAGTCCATCACCCTTAAAGTATTGAGGTGGTCAGTCCCTCAGTCTGGAGAAGAGTATTGTTCCATAGTCTGAAACAATATTGTTTCAGATTATTGCGAGGCGTTTCGAAGTAGAGATGCCTAACTGTTGCATGTGTGTCTTACCTAGCACACTACAGTAGACAGGAATATATAAATATCTTGGGCTAAGTTAGATTACACCTTCCCAATATATCACCATCATGTCTATAATACTCATAAGCTTTATACAAACAATGTACAACTCTAAACCTGCACATTAAAAATGTGGGTGTAGTGAACGTGAATATAAATAACGCCACGTACACAGCAAGCCATGAAACTTTACAAGAGTTTCTCCTCAACAAATCTCTTTTTCTTTCTGGGTTTAATTAAAGAAAGCGACCACAAGTAGGGGCCAACTTAAACATTCAAAATTTTCGGGAACACTTAGATAAGATTTCATTCGGATTTTTAACCCCGGAGGGTTAGCCACCCAGGATAACCCAAGAAAGTCAGTGCGTCATCGAGGGACTGTCTTATTTCCATTGTGGTCCTCAATCTTGTCCCCCAGGATGCGACCCACACCAGTCTACTAACACCCAAGTACCTACTTGCTGCTAGGTGAACATGACAACAGGTGTAAGGAAACGCGTCGAATGTTTCTACCCCGCCGGGAATCGAACCCGGGACCTCCGTATGTGAAGCGAGAGCTTTAGCCACCAGGCCACTTTACAATAAAGATACTTGTGTGTTTCACGTGTTTCTTACTCTTGCTTAAGTTAGGTTAGTTTAAGTTATTTTAGATTAAATTAGGTTTGGTTAAATTTTTTAAAATGGGTTAGAAGGGGGGTCCATTTTTGCCCGGCCCCCTTTTTTAAAACGACCATTTTTAAATAAAAACGGCGTTGATCAGGGTAGGCAGCCCAAACGGCAAAATTCCATGGATTTTATTTTTTGGGGTTTTTTTTTATGGATTTTTTCCCCAAATTTTTGTCTAGACCCTAAAAACATTAGAAAATTTAAATCCTAGGGCCTTTGCAAAGTGGCCCCCATTATTCCAGAGAATGTCGGCAATCAAATTTTTTTTGAAGTTTTACGTTCAAACTCGGTTGTGTTTATCCGTAAGTGATTTATTTTAACCTGTTATTACTGGTAAATTCCTTTAATGACCAAAATAATATCCAGCAACCCAAAAAGAACTTTAACACAAAGCCCCCGCCCTCTCACGTCTTGAATGAGGGTTTAAAAACCCTTTTTAGTTGTATTTCAAACTTTGTGCACTGATTCTTGGCTCTAAAAATGCTGTCGTTCAAGCTATATCTGTATTAAGACCCGTTTTAATTTTCCGCACAAATAACAGAACGGGCTGGGATCGAAGCAACGGCAGGGGTGTCATGAACCTTTTTGGCAGTAGTTTTCACAGACTCACCTGCCAGGGTTTTCCCGCCTTTCCCGTTCGTGATTAGTTTTTTAATTTATTGTTATGGGTTTCACGAGTCACGTTCGTCACATATATCGTCTTATAAAACCCTGTTAATTCACCCACAAAAAGGACACACCCCCACCTCCTAATGGTAGGGCTTTAACTGGGGTCGCATAGCTAATCTTGAAAAACGTGTGTGCTCCAGGCCGACTTCAGATTTTATACCTTTTTTTTGCAATCTTTGAATATTATCACAAAGGCCGAATATACAGAAGAAAAACAGGGGAAACGAACCGTACCATGTTTTTTGTATATCTAAACATCTTGAAGAGCCAAACACTGGCAGTACGAGGCTATAAGCGATTACCCATACATTCAACGTTAACTATTTTAGATCTAATAGAGCAGGAACTCTCTTTAGAATATGTGTCTAAATGAAGACACACACACACACACACACACACACACACACACACACACACACGCCTAGTACAACCGGTGAAGAGGGGGGCCAGGGCTAGGACTCGACCCCTGCAACCACAAATAGGTGAGTACAAATAGGTGAGTACACACACACAAGGACTGGACATAAATATATTTTTTCCACATCTTGTCGGTATCACCAAAACATTTTTCACACACCATAATAGATCCCAATGGAAATAAACTTCTTGGATAGTGCTGGAATCCCCCCTCTCCCCAAGTCGTGATAACACGACTCTTGTCTCTGACGACCAAAGAACGACCCCGTTGTTGTTTTTTCCCGAGTGTAATACTGTGTGCCACAGGTCGTCTGGCGACGGACGACTCTTACGGTCCCCGCCCGACACCCCCTCCGCCCACAGCCCCCCCCCCCGCCCCCCAGGGCACCCAACAAACACCACCACCACCACCGCGCTGCGGCTGCGTTGCAGCCCCCAAACCCCCACACCACCCCCCCACCACCCAACTACCACCACACCAAACCAAAACCCCCTTGATTTTCCCCACAATTACACCAAATACCAAACTAACGAAAAAAAAACTCCTTTAGCAAACAAAACGCTAGTTTTTCCCTCCTTTAGTACTTCATTTGTTTCACAACTTAAAGTTACACGTTGTAGATTTTACCACCCAAGCCTGGAGGGTATGGAAAGGATAAGGGAAAAATGGGGTTTTGGGAAAAAGGGGTAGCTGATGAGGAATATCTTCCCTTTTAGGTTATTGAAGCCCAAAAACCTTTGGGAGTTTCAAATTTAGGTTGGAAAATACAAAGTGAAGGGGGTTGGGTTTTAGTGGACTTGCCAC